AGTCAGAGAGTGAAATACCGACAGTATCATTGATACTTCTTTCGTCATTTCTCAAAAATCTTCTCATTTAACAACTCCCACTTCCTATCATGCACGGAATTCACATTTCTTGCCACTAGATTTGGAAACATATTCTTTTCCTTTTTTTCAATTTTTATTTTTAATCAAGGCTGTAAATCTTCCATCTTTTTTTGCCTGTATTCCTCAGACTTCTTTTTTCAATTTTCTGTTTATCTAACCTAAGGTTACCATCAGTCACTTAAAGTCATCCATTTGTCTGGTCTCTTGTTTCAGTCAGTGAAGGGAAACATTTTTGTAAAGAGCCTCTGCAAGTACTGATTTCTCTGTATTACAAGGGACCTAACACATTAGCTTAAATTTTTTGCCGTGAGATACAGTTGGGTGAGATGAATCCAAACTTCAAGAAGCATTTGACAATTATTTTTATAATGTTGTTTCTGGTTAGAATAATCTTGGCATCTCATCTTTCCCCTTCACTCTAGTTCAAATCTTTCATCCTTTAATCTTTACCTATCAGCAGCTACCACCCTTTTTCAGTATGATATTTACCTTATCTTTACCACATCACCAGGACAAAATCAAGCGTGCTACTCAAGTTTAAACACCTCAGGTTGTGTTCCTGGCTCATTTAAGATTATTGCAATATGTAAGGAGCATTCTCAAACACGAAAAATAACATAGAAAGTTATCCCTCAATTTTAATTCTTCCAAATATTTCTTTTGGGGATTAAATACATTTAATAATGAACATTGCTGTCAGTTGTACAATGTTAGCAAACTTAAAGCAGAAGTTGAAAGATACTCAGGTTATACAAGAATTCAAAATAAGTTGAGTTAGTACATCCCTTAATGTCATTTAAAAAAGAAAGAAGGGAGAGATCTTCACTATATTCAACAACCAACTTATACTTACGAACAAAAGGAGAGAAGAGGTTTTATAGTACAAAAATAGAGGAATGGTTATAAATCAGCTAAATTGTCTGTACACAAAGTGAGATATAGAATAATTCAAGGAGACATAGAAGTCATTAAATGTCAGATACTTCTATCTCATTAGCACAATAAAAACTTAGTTTGATGTTTCACATCACTTGATCATCAGAGAGCAAGATCCATACATAATTGATAAAAACAGAGAAAAGCTAGAGATTAGGGCAAACACTCATGTCTAAAGTTTTCAAATGCCAACAGAACTGGAATTTGAGAAAACAGAGAAGCAATTACCTTACTTATGTGGTAAAGCTTAAAATAAATAAATAAAGAATGGATGATAAAGTTGTTTAAATTATTTGCATCCCAAACTATGTATGTGATTTTCATTTTCACATCTGTGTTCTTATGCATTTCTGAAAAATCCTCAGGGCACTTTTTTGAATTTTAGCTGCATGCATGCTCTAAATTCTGACCCAATCAGTAATAAATGCAGACAACAGGAATTATGAAAGAGAGTGCTGAATTAGTAGACAAGATGGAAAAGAATGTAGCCAGAGGAAAATCCACACTTGTTCCTCTTGATATCAAAGTTATTATTTGGAGCAGGAGGATGAGAGACTGTTGGTGCTGGTGACCAAAAGCTGTTGAACATAGTGTAGAGACCTAGTGGATACTTGGAGCAACCAGAAAATTCAGTGCAATGGTTGTAATAAAGGAAATATTAAAAAATAAAAACTGAATCAAGGCTGTTTTCCCAGTAGTATATCTGCTAGAATAAAGAAGACTACTTCATCAAAATAAGGAAAGGAATACAAGTGACCTTGTGTGGATTTATGAGGATATATGCTAAAATGCTTTTTTTTTCTTTACACAAAGGTAATGCATAAATTTTAAAATAATTGTGTGCAGCTTTTGGACCAAAAAAGACCTTACATTGTCAATTTCCAGCTGTGAAGATGTGACTTCATACTCTAAAGTCATAATACTCTAAAGTCTAAAGTGATAAGGAGACAATTTTGCTTTCTGATAGGGAGAATATTTTGCTTTCACACTTGTGTTTACAGAACAGTCATTGACATGAGACCTCTGTCATGTGAACTTAGCAAAAGTTAAGAACATTTATTCAAAATATTTATTGGTTATTTAAAATATTTTAGATATTTTTTATTGTAATTTTCGGTACACTGAAAAATGTTTGGGAAAATCTTTTGGAAAAACTCTACTATGACTAAAATGAGACCACAATATTTTTCAGATACTCGAAACAATGTACTGCATGGTTGTAAAATCAGTTCCAGTTTTAGGGGGAGTCCTATCCAGAGTGAAGGAACTCTTTGAAATCCTCCTCATTATGTATCAAAGTAAAGAAAAAACAAAGAAAAGCTTACAAAATTCAAATACAAACAAGAAAAGATATATATATTGTTACAGCAGATGAAAATAAAGAAAAGGTAAGTAAAACAAACAAAAAAATTTCACATTTTGTATCAGATACATGCTATTAATGAAGCTACCATTCTAGAAATCTTACAAGCTTCACATCCTCAGGTTGTTTTTATGGTTAGTTTTATGAGTCATCCTCTCTGCTGTAAGGTACCAATCATATGATTGGTTATATTGTTTTAAGACATTAAATGTCTTAAATTATATAATGACATTATATGGAATCATTTAAGTTGGAAAAGATGTCCAAGATCATCGAGTCCAACCGTTAAGCCAGCGCCACCGACTCCATCACTAAACTGTGTCTGCAAGTGCCACAACTATATGTCTTTTAAATACTTTCGGGAATGAGGACTGCTTCTCTGAGCAGCTTGGTCCAGTGCTTTTCAGTGAAAAATGTTTCCTAATAAACACTCTAAACTCCCCTGGTGCAACTTGAGGCTGTTTCCTCTTATTCTGTTCCTGCTATTTGGGAAAAAGACTGACACACAGAGTATATATCTAAATCTACATCTAAATCTCCTAATGTACTGCTATTTTCATATAGCAAAATATTCAATAACACCAGAATAATTATATAGGTATGATTAGTTCATGGTTATCAAATAGTACTTATATTTGGCAAGCCATACTCTGAAGGCTTTTAAAGAAAAATGTGGTTATAGCAGGAATCCAGATAGATTAAGCACAAGGTTTTAGCAGAGTACAAGCACCATATAAGAGCAAGGGCCCAAGGACATAAAAATAAACAAACAAATAAAAGAAACCACATATAGAAATTAGTGCTCATGAAACAAATAAACAAATTGAACCCTAAGATACAGTTTTGAGCCATCAACCAGTTTTAAGGTAAAACTTGAATATCTTTAGAATTTTGTCAGAACCAATTGCTGTTGTATGTTAGTGGAGTATTCAACAGTACAAGTCAAATGAATGCAACTAGTCTCGAGCTTATTTCTGAATGGAGTATGATCCAAAAACTTAAACAAACTGGTAATATTATTAATCCAGTTGGATATGAAATATTTTTATGTGCCTGGCATAATTTCAGTTCAACATTAAGTTATTCAGAAAAAAACACTACTGTTCATATAACTCTTGCAAACAGATAATGATCATCAATGTCTACAACTCATTTTTGAGTTGATACAATAATCAATCACAATTGGTTTCTAACATGTACTATAAATCTTGTACACTGCTTGGAAAGAAAAAATAGCAAAATCAAACCTAACCATATTTAATATGTACCGGGTTTGGAACGAGAAAAAATGAAAGACTGCTGATATTCAGCCTGTTTGGTACAGAAACGAGTTGCTGAGTAATAAAAAAATGTCTATTAGTAATTGTAAAAAAATGCAGACATTTCTGTGTCAGTGGTACTCAAATCAAAGTAAAAGCACAAGCTAAAACTATTTCCATGTGATTAAATACTGTGATATGTGAATTAAAAGTCAAATCATTTTAATGTGTCTAAATTAGTCCTACAAAAATGAACAGGGCATCTTCATTTCACAATCTCAGCAATTAAACTAAAAGAGAAAGCATTAAAATTATTATTTATACAAGTACAGTGGATATTCTGATTTCTAGGCTTTGGAAGATTAACTGAGACTCATTTCTGATCACAGAAACACATGCTGATGTTAAGTTTCAACACACTCAAAAGTAAATTAGAAGCAAAATATCATTGCTACTCTTCAATATCCATTTCAACAGATTAACTTATTCTGTTTGCAGACATCATAGGTTAATTTTCTGATTTATATCTTTTCTCTGTTGTTTTTTTCTTGTTGATTTCTTATCACTGTCCTTTAAAAAAAGAAACAAACATTTATAAAGAAAACTCTTCTTCAAAAATCACAAATGCATGACAATTTTTTCTGAGCATGCTACAAAACAAACACTTCCTATACACTTATGAAGGAGAAAAATCACTTGAGTATTCAGCATCTGGTTATAAGTAGCCTCGCTAGGTAAAAGCATGAAAAAAATAAACACATCTAGTAGCCCCTGATGCACCTCACACAATGATCCTAAAAAAATAAAGAGAATATGTAGTTCCATTGAAAAATGTTTAATACATACTGTAGTTTTTCGAAGTTTACATTTTTTCCACACCTTAGCTCATTTACTTAGGAAAACATAGAACAGATATACATCTTCAGGACATTTCACAGAGAAAGAAAGAGAAGTAAATACATTTTAATCTCACAGCTAAGGTATGAACTGTTGTATAGCAAAAGAGCATTGCATTTAAACACATTTGAAAATATTCCATTAATTGAACACGTTGTCACATGTGCTTTGTCCCATGATCCTACCCTCATAATTGTTCAGATAGGACATCACTTGGGCCCACCTGATCATGGACTTTGGGTTTTTCACACAAAAGAGAGGGTGCAGTGTGGCCAGTGCTGCCTGGGTGTCTCCTTACTATGAAGCTTGAAATGTCTGAAGGACATTTTACTTCCTGCCAAAAGCAGGAAGTAAAAACTACTTCCAGATGTGTACCGCTAGATCTTGTCAGTGCATATCTTGATATTTCTTGATGTAGCAAGTGTAGGTTCAGAACTAACAGCTGGTTTTCTGTTTGCTTGTAGGATGAAACAGAATCTGCTCTCTGTATCAAAAAGTGCAGGAACTGGGAAGAATCTCACAGATATCTGGTCTTGATCCCGCAGTGGTCATCCCTGAGTACACAGCTTCGTTTTCAATACTTCCATTTAAAGTATTTCTCTGCTAAATTCCAACTTCTTCAGCCATGTGATGATGCATGAGCCAAATCTGGAAGTGTACCCCATAAATCACAAACAGATCAACTCTGTGAGCTGGGGAGAAACCTCTACTCCACCGTCTTTTAAAGGATGACTACAAAGTAACTTTTCATTATCTAGCTTCACACAAAATTTTCCCCTTCAAAAACTTCACAACCAAGAATTATGTGGATACTTTGAAATGTTCTGAGAAGCATAGAGAAACAGACAAAAAGCCTAAAATATCAGTTTAGTAGCAGCTGGGTGAACTGTCATTGTCCTAGTTAGCTTAAATGTTCCACAGCCAATTTCTGTAGCTTCCTCAACTCTCTGGATTTTAAAAGTTCTAATTGACTCCAGAACCTCACTGTAGCTGACATCTGTATGTTTCTAGATCAATTTGACAAGTTAAGAAATCCTCTGGAACTTGGAACATGAAGAAGTGTAGTGTAGAGTTGTACTGGGTTGATCCTGGATGGATGCCAGGCACCTACCAAAGCTGCTCTGTCGCTCCCCTCTGCAAGTAGACAGGAGAGAGAAAATAGAACAAAAGGTTCATAAATTGAGATAAGGACAGGGAGAGATCACTCACTGAAAATCATCCCCACTGATCTCCAGGGGCACAGCTGCTTCACCAAGGTCTTCATCACAGGCTGCAGGGGAAGCTCAGCTCCGGCGCCTGGAGCACCTTGTCTCCATCCTTCTCCCCTGACCTTGGTGTCTGCAGAGTTGTTGCTCTCACATGTTCTCACTCCGCTCTTCTCTGGATGCAATTACTTATGCACAATAACTTCTTTTTTCCTTCTTAAATATGTTATCATTCTTAATTGATTAAGTCTTGGCCAGCCAGTCCACCCTGGAGCCAGCTGGCATTGGCTCTACCAGAAATGGGGGAAGCTTCCGGCAGCTTCTCACAGAAGACAACCCTGTAGCCCCCCGGTACCAAAATCTGCCCACACAAACCCAATACAATACAGGTAAGAGTTTAGCACAGAGCTGATTTCACTTTTGTAGAGTTTGTTGATGCAGGTCCTTTGGTGTGGCATCTATACTGCTGCTGAACCTGAGCTTGGCCAAAACATGGTATAGCTTGCTTTTTTCTTCCCCCCTCCCCCATGATATTTGAACTATTAAAAAGCACAAAATACAATCTGACTCAAAACAAGAACCAGCTCAAATGCACCCATGGCACTGACAATCTGAATCATAAAAAACAACTGAATAGGGGAGGATCTTTTTACCTTTTGGCATTTCTTGTATCGCAGGTGATGGTTCTGATCCACTGGTTACCAACTGACCATCCTGTTAGAAATAAATGAAGAAGAATATTTCTTCAAATAAATGACTGAATATGTTTAAGAAATATCTCTCTCACAGAATCTCCTTTCTCTGTCATTAACCTGTTATGTATATACATTATGTGTATATATATTAATTCAAATTTATATTCTCTCTTTATTGTTTTCCTTTTACTTTTTGAATGAATGAATGAATGAATGAGTGAAATGATGCAGTATTACTGTAAGTCATATAAGTAGTTTATTAAAAAGGCTACGGGGGATTCTGCAGCTAATTATTACTCCATCCAAATACTCCTGACAACACCCTACAGTTAGACCCAGCTGCTCTTCAAGTTTCTATGTCTCATAGGTGGCTACTTTGCCACAATTATTTTTCTAGTTTGAAAGTCAGTGGTAACAATTGTTGATGTCTGACAAATAGATACAGAGAAAAAGCATTTAGTGACATAATTTTATACATGCAATTAGTTTCATGGGGCTTAGTTTTTCAGAAATATGTAAAGCTGGATGCAGTTATATAGTATGAATATTTGAGAGTAGATGCTAGAAATCTGGCTAAATATCTCTTCTGTATGAACACTTTGCAGTCAACTGGAAATCTGGTCCATGTATGTTTTTCAAATCTTTTTTCCTGATTTCCTTAAGCCATTTTCAGTTTAGGTGATCACTGTAAAACAAGGATATGTAACATATAGACTACACATGAATGAGAAGAGAGCTTTCTGTCATAGAAGCAAGTAAATTGTTAATAAAACATTGCCTGCTGTGAACTGTAAACTGTAAAAGCTGTATCTTTGGAAAATTGTCAAACTAACTTAGAGAACAAAGTACTCTCATTTTGTCTGAAATAATGACTTTAGGTACAGAATGGCAAATACTACAATTTAGGGAAAAGGAGAGCTTCATTAGTATTAATTTTCAAATACAAAGCTAATCAAACACTTCCTTGAGTATATTGGATACTTAATATGCAAAAAGGTGGATTTGCAAGGTAACAAATCTAAACAGATTCAATGATTTTAAGAATACAAACTTTTAAAAAAAGCAAAAGAAAACTATTCAGTAAGTTTAAAACATCATTTAAAGTAACATGAATCTGACTGAAATAGACATATTGCATATCTGTGTATCTATCTTCAAAAAAAGTTATGAATGAGTCTGAACATGACATATATTTCATACCTTAGTGTAAGTCAACTTACATTTCATTCTGATAGATAAACTTTAAAAATTTAGATATAAAACAGAACAGAAATAAAACACATATTCAATGGAAGTCTAAGTTCTTTTCAAACACAACTTATAGAGGTTTATGATTGTCTGTTTATTATTATGACATCAAAAATATTTAGATGAGATAGTGATGATATCTGTAAGTGAATGTACATCTTTATGATTGATTTTGAAAATAGAAGCCCAAGCAACACTACTTTCTAGTTTAGAACTTATGACTGTGAACAACAGATCCTGGCATGAGCCTGACTATGAAAATGCAAAGCATTATTCAAAAAACAATCTTTATGGAATAATTCATTCATCACAACTAATTTTTTCCATGAAAACCTCCTAGAACTAAGTACATCAAGGTGGATACTGTTCATTGTTAAAATTTTTCTTAAAATGAAATGTTTGCCTTTCTAATTCTCTGATAAGTCTTCTCAACATTTTATTACCTGATAGTACAGAAATTAGAAAAGAGGGGGTAAAATTCTCTCTTCTAATGGAAGGCAAAAAGCTGTATAAAAACAGTCAAGGACACCAGATTAATTCATAGAGGAAACTTCTATACTGAAATATAATACACACATATATAAATATACAGTATGTGACCATGCTGTATCTTCACAGAGAGATAGGATAACAAAAGCTGATTTTATAGTAACCTATTTAAGAAAAGAAGGAAGGTGAAATTGGTTGCTTCTATTTAGAAAAGAGAAAAAAAATAGCCACTTCAAATAGGCTTAATGAAGGAATAAATCACTGACACATGACTACAAAAGTAAAGTCATACGAGTGAGTTTCAAACTCCAAACTATCCATATTTCTAAGATTCAGTTTCCTCAAACTCTTCATAAATGCTCCTAAAGAAAAATTCTATACCACAGGAGGTAAACATGTAGGTTTCCTGTTTTCCCTCTGATCAGAACTAAATAGAGAAGAATAAATAGGTAACCCCATATGTTTCATGAAATGCCTGGTGAAAATAAAATAATATTACAAAAACTCTCTCTTTTACTGAGTTACACTCTGAGATATCAATTGTCTTCATGAGGGCAGAAAAAAATTAATCTTTTAAACGAGTTAGTTTTCCACAAATTATCTCAGTTTGCAGAGGGATCATACTTCAGCAGAAAATAAAGGTTATATATAGATATACTTTTTTTTCCTGAGCCACATGGCCTTATGCAGTAATCAAGTTATCCTCTGGCAGACACAAAGGAATAGATTTATTTAAACTAACGCTACCAGAGATACCTGAGGCTAATCACGACATTTCCCTGCTGTTGGTAGGTATGATGTGGGCTGCAGAAGATTCACTCTGTCTTTCTAGCAGCAATTAGAGGAAAAACTAGATACTTGAGGGCATCTAAGATATCTCTATGATTACTTTTAAAAACTGTAAATTAGGATGTCTCCACAATGAGTTAACAAATTTCATTACCAAGGTGTAAATAGTGAGTTTCTGAATGAAGAGCAGTTGACTTCTGGCAAAATGATTTCTAATAGACAGAAGAAAGAAAAAAAAACTGAAAAAACTCCATAGGATACTGAGTCAGTACTTTCTATTTACATTGTATGATTTATATTTTATAGATTTAGATTTATATTTTATAGTGTGACAAGATAGTAGCAAAGAATCATTCTATTTTACAGAAAGGCTAAATCATGACCTTGAGATAAGACATTGGTAACCTTTGGAGTAAGATTAATGTGGTTACCTGTCTGGAAATCAAATGCTTTTATTTATGTTCAAATCAAAATTTTTTTGATGGACCCTTTCAGCTTCTGTGGTCCTTTAGGACAACACAAACTACAGAAAAATCAGCTGAGGCTTTGAGATAAAAGAAAAATAATCTTGATCTGTGGGAAGGGGGATTGGGGAAGGAGAGTTAGGGGTGCCAACAAAACCTTCCTGAAACAATTTTTAATTATATTCTATCTGTATGGCTTGCATATTCTGATCTCTTTAGCAAATGCTATGAATATGATTGTTTTTCAAATTTCTGGGAAATTGAGTCAGTATGACAGTAAATATCTGATATGCACAGATCCAAGAAGGAAAAGCAAGCATTAAAGAGACAGAATGATGATGTAGGACAGATAGTTAGGTGAGTCAAGAAGGCGTAAGAGGTGCAGTAGTTTGTTTGGTGGTGTTTCCTCTTCACAAAAGCTGTCTTGTTTCTAGCATTATAAACACTAGGAAGCAAAAAATACCCCATAACAGTGAGAAATCTCTTCAGAAAGTAAAAAAATCTACCATGCATGAAAAATATGTGCATCCTTATCTATATACCTGTTTGTGGTATAAAAGGCATACCTGTTTTATTTCCAAATAAGGAGGGCAGAGGCTGGGGGAGGAGATAGAGCTCAGGAAGGAGGGACTGGTGGGGGGAAGGTATTTTTAAGATTTATTCTACTTCTCATTATCCTGCTCTTATTTTGAGTAATAAATTCATTTAATATCCCAAACTTGTGTCTGTTTTCCTATGATGTTGATCGGTGAGTGATCTCTCCCTGTCCTTATCTCAACTCATGAACCTTCTGTTATATTTTCTCTCCCCTCTCCAGTTCTGGAGGGGAGTGATACAGCGGCTTTGGTGGGCACCTGACATCCAGTCAGGGTAAACCCACCACACCTCCAACAGGACTTTATTCTGCATCACACAAAAGTCAGAGCATGGCTGCTTATACAGATTTAGGTGAAGCTTTATCCTAATGCCACAGTGGTGTTCAGTTTTTCCACAAGAAATAAACAGCTAATTTAAAATACTTTGAAACACTGTTAATCACACTTGAAGTTTTTAATTACATACAATAATTTTGTAATGTTTTAAACATAATGTATTTATGAAATAATTAATTTATTTGCATGCAAGTAAATGGAATCATATTAATGCTGTAAAGACAAATTAAAGCACCATATTTCTTCATAATATAAATATCCAACCCCAGAATTGAAATACCCTCTAATGTAATTAGAAATAAATGCAGCATTTTCCAAAAGGCATATTATCATCACTAGCACATAATCTTGCCAAGTTATTATCATAGTCCCTAATTCTGAGTGAATGCCTCATAAAATTCCAAGGGGATCAACTGAAGAAAGAGATTAGAGAAAACAGTTCTAGAAGAGCAGCCTCCTATACTTCAACACAAATTGGAATATATTTGGACATGAGACTATCAGAATACACAAAGAACTCCTTTCTGTTCACAGACATGGGGAGCCATGAGTTTAGGTGCAAGTTCTTTGTGAGTATCTCATAGGGCAGACAGCAAGGTGTAACAAGTTACCATAGGGAAAGTGGTAGTTCTCCGTCAGCTGGTCACTACACAGGTAGTAAAGAACTAAGGTTGAGACTTTCTGCTGCACAACAGCGAATTCTGTCTTATGTCTATGTAAGGGCTTTCTCCTTACCTGTCCTGACTGACAGACAAAGCATAAGCTATCAATTAAATTATGTGTGATCCAAGGCTGTCTAGCTTTCATGAGTCTGAAGTTTTATTCAAAATGCATGTCTTAACTACATCAATTTACTGCCCAAATTCCTTGTCCAAAAGCCATTTTTTGTCTCTGCATTAAAATTTTAAGTTCTATTCACTGCGGTCAAAAACTGCTCTATCTACTGTGTGAATCAGTCCTTATGATTTCCTACTGCCATGCAGACAAAACTGTGAATTCCTGGGCTTTGCAAATCATGATTAGAAGTGTTATTCAAGAACCTTGTTGCAATTCAACTCTGAGTGGGCAGAATAGGAGAAAAGGGAAGGTGGAAAATGGTACTTAGGAGTTGAAAAGCACAGAAACTGTAATTGCATATCCAGTATGGAAAAAAACATAATTGAAATGCTCCCACATACCCATTTTATACCTAGTTGAATGAGTTACCTGACACAAGGTCCAGGCTCAGGAACAGAGCCATTCTCATACTGGTCATGTAATAAAGCAGCTGCAAGAACACTGTACTGGGTGTAACAGGTAGGCTGACTGAGTCTCTAGTGGCTGCAGGATGCATTCACCTGGCTGGAGGAGGCTCTGAGCTACCCTGGGCCAGTAACAGCTGACTTTGGCAAGCTCTGACACTGCTGTAAACAACTCCTCTTGCACCAAAATTGCAGCAAGGTAGGGGAGCCCCCAGTGCCCTGATTCATACCTGTTCAGGAAAGAGCAGCAGTTACTGGAAGCATGAGAAAATGGAGAAAACACCTCCAGAGAAATGGAGGGGACACATGGAATGAGACATTGTTAGGGACAAAGATGAAGCTGCACTATTGAAAAGAACTGCTCCATGCCAGAGGATGCACCTCTGAGGGACTGTAGACTGCAGGCAATATAGGTTAGGAAAGAGACACCTCCAAGGGAGATACAATTCTAAGTGACCATACATAGAAATGGGGAAGCAGCAAGGACCAGCAGAAAGAAAACATGGCTCATTGACCCTACACTCACGCATGGACTGAAGGATCAGAGAGAGACAAGTGCAATGTGAGC